GTCCAAGCCTGATGCCAGGGCTGGTCTTTGAAGCACAGCTCCAGCCCAGTCCCAGGACAGGTCTTTGTCTCCTGCAGCAACAGAGACGGCGGCGACCTCGGGAAGACACCCACTGACCCTCGAGCTGAGCAGGGTGAGGAGCCCGGGGCTGCAGCTGGCATCTGTGAGGCTGGCAGAGGCGTGTCTGCTGCTGTTGTTCTCGGTACCACCGAGTCAAATGCGCCCCAACACACCCCAGAACGAACACCGCCCAGCCCTGCGTCACCGCCCTCAGGATGGGTCTACTAGGGATTATCATAAACTAACAAAGTAAATCTCTTTGCCTTGGCTCCCCATCTCCCAGAGCGAGGGTCGGGGTCTGGCCTGGGGACCAGGGTAGCGAGGCCGGTGCTCCAGCAATCCCTAACCCACAGCACCTGCCACCTGGGGCCAAAGTGTACCAGGCTGACATGATGTCACAAGGAGATATGGAGTCCCAATCCCACCCAACAGGAGGCAGGGTGGAAGAGGGAAGAGGGTCATGCAATGATGACAGTGGAGGGGGGGCCCCGCATGCCTCTGAGTTGAGGAACTCCAAGAACCACCACCAGGAGCCAGGAGAGAGCCGCCCGGGGTGGATCACTCGGGCCTGGGCACCAGCATGGCCGACACCTCCAGCCCCCGAACCTGGGGGCAGCATGCTGCTGCTCCTGTCAGGCTCCTGTTTGTGGCCCAGGTGGCCCCGACACGAGACGGTGTCCTGTCCTGATGATTCTCTCAAAGTTGGTTCGGACAGATGCCTACATAGACAACTGCGTGTAAAGAGAGAGCCTTCACTCTGGGGAGTCTGCGTTCTCAGTAAAGGAGCCCCCGTGTTGGTGGTGGTGGTGATGATGTGCTGGGCTGGTAACCACAAGGTCAGGGGTTCGAAGCCAACACCCACTGTTTGGGAGAAAGATGAGGCTTTCTACTCTGAGAAAGAGTGACAGTCTCAGAAACCCACAGCGCCAGTTCTACCCTGTCCTGTAGGGTCGCTGTGGGTCAGAATGAGCTCAAGGGAAGGGGAGTGGGTTTGGAGCTTATTAGCAGTGTGCTTACCAATGCCATCTTCACTGGTCTTTGGCGTTTGGAAGCGTTATTTGCAAAGTTACAGACAGGCTGACAGTGTAAAATGAGGCACCGTAACATTGTCTTTGAAAGTGCAGATCACATGACACCACATGCCCACATCCGCTCCCACTGGCTCAAGAGCTATGATTCCAACTCTCAGCAACCCTGCTGTGAGGGTTTCTGGGGCGCTAACACTGGATGGGTGCAAGCAGCCTCACCTTGATCCCTTGGAGAGGCTGGTGGGTTTGAACCACTGACGCTGTGGCTGGCAGTTCAATGCCCAACCCATGGCTCCTGTTACTAATGAACAGAGGTAGAAGGAGTGGACACAAACAGGGGCTGTAATCATGGCTCAGAAACTGACAGGGATGTCCCACCCTGTCCCACAGGGTCACTGTGCACTAGAGTGCACTCAATGGCAGTGGCTGGGCCGTGGGCAGGTGGCGACCCCACATTCCTTGGCTTGTGGCCCTTCCTCAGAGGACCCCAGCCTCTGGGTCTGTTTCCCACTCCTCCTTGCCCTCCGGACTCTTCCACACCCGAGGACCTGAAGCCAAATGGTCTGGAGCCAAAGGGTGAACTCACGGGGCCGCTGCCCACCGAGAGACTGGGGTTCAAGTCCACCCAGACCAGGCACTGACAAGGAGGGCCCTGGCATCTGCTCTTGACTATAGCAGGCACGACAACCCTGTGCGCAGAGGTCCACACACACCCGGTCTCCATGGCCTAGAGCGGCTGGCCCCTGGATCATGCCGCCTGGGTGAGCTAGAGGGGCCCTGCTGAGAGTGGTCACACACTGGGCTGCCACCCGTGAGGTCAGCCGTTCAAAAGCCACCAGCCGGTCCTTGGGGAGAAAGACCAGGCTTTCAGTCTCATAGGCAGTTAAGAGCCTCAGAAACTTACAGGGGCAGTTCTACCCCGTCCTATAGGGTCACTGTGAGTCAGTACTGACTCATGGGCAGTGAGTGAGTGTGTGTGTGGGGTCATCCAGAATGACCCCTCCCAGACCAGGGTCAACTAAGCCACGGCCTTCGTTCCTCCTGCACGCTTCCGCCCCCGCACTCCACAGACCTCTCCTGTTCACAGCTTCTGGGGCTGGGAAGGTGGACATCTGGGCAGGGGGAGGGGCAGGGGTGATCTCCTGAGCCCCTGTGGCATATGGAATGGGTCACCCCTTGGGCTGCTAACCACAAGGGTGGCAGTTTGAAGCCACCAGCCACTCCGAGGGAGAAAGAGGAGGTTGTCTGCTCCCATCGAGTGATGAGTCTCAGACACCCACAGGGGCAGCTCGACCCTGTCCTGCATCGACTCGGCGGCCTGAGTTTTTGGTTGTAGACTTGCTAAGCAGGAGCAGGGCTATGCTTGGTCGTGGTGGAGCAGGGGGTGGTGGTGGGGTGGGGGGTAGTAGACGACTTTTGGGGCCCCTTCCAATTCATTCATCCCCCTGCACCCAATCGCTCCAGCACATGTCGTGAGCACCCACTGAGCCTGGGTGCACAACAGGTAAGCACTTGGCTGCGAACAGAAAGGCGGGGGGTTCAAATCCACCCAGCCACCCCGAGGGGCAAAGGGCTGGTGGCCTGCGTCCCTAAGGATGGCAGTCAGACACCCTGCAGGGCAGTTAGACTCTGCACTTAGTGCAGAGGAGCTGAGAAACAGTTTGAAGGCATCTCCCAGCATTGTCAGGAGAGCGCCGCCCCTGGAGAAGGACGTCCTGTTTGGTCAGGTGGTGGGGGGGGCGGAGGGCGGAAAAGAGGAAGGCTCTCGACAAGGTGGACGGACACAGTGGCCGTGGGCTCCACGCAAGAACAACGCTGAGGACGGCGCAGGACTGGGCGGTGCTCCGTTCTGCGGCCCATTGGGTCACTGGCGTGGAGACGGATTCCAGGGCCCCTAACCACACCGACACGCGCATCCCCAACCTCGTGCAGTCGTAGTTCGCACGCTGCCTGGCCTTCCTGGGCACTCACTGCAGTGGGCAACCAGGGACGAGATGGCCTGGCTGGGCTCCTCGCCCGGCTCCCGGGCCGGGCAGCGCTGGGCTTTCTCAGCTGGGGAACATGGGAAAATGCAGCGAGGCCCGGGCCACGGAAGCGGATGCATTAAAAATAATGAGGCTGCTTCATCCCGGACGCAGGTTCCGGGGAGTGTGTGAGCCACGTCCGAGGTTTATTTTAAAACAGACGTTATTTTCCAAATCTGTCTCTGTTTAATCTCTTTTGATGGAGTGAGGCAAATAAAACCCGTATTCTAAAAATTGAAGTTTATATATAGTCTGCAGATTAAAAAAGTCGAGAAAGACCTTAAAATATAGGTCCAAATAGCACCCTCCCCCCGGAAGAACCAGGGTTTCTCACGTACCAGACTCCCCCCCCCCCAACAAATCCACTACTGTCCAGTTGGTCCTGACTTATAGTGACCCTCTGGGACAGGGGGAACAGCTCCATGGGTTTTCCAAGGCTGTCAGTCTTTCTGGGAGCAG